TAACCTCAATATACCTTTGGATGAACTTCATCACACCAACATTGTACTTTTTATCCACCCAAATATATGTATTAATCTCAGTTGACATAGGCATCATAACAAATCTGTTTATAATACATACTGGTATTTCCAGAGGAGAGAGGACGGCTCGAGGTATACCCTGCTTAAACAAAGGTGATATCTGAGTATAAGCCTGAATATTTAAAATAAATCTATTAAAATGATCAGAGCATCCAAGATGTAACCACAGGCCCCTTTAGAAAGATTGGACCCCCTGTCAGCATGCCACATCCCCAGTGTACTATACTCCTATAAGTATACCAGAAAGAGGGAACATTTCATCATAGTTAAAAAAATTATATATGAAGATAGAAAATGGATCAGTAGGATTTTACCTGTCTTTATCTTCGTGGGATTCACGAAGTTCACAAATCAAAACTTTTGCCAGACAAGTTCCCAGGTTTCTAGACAGAAATAATGAACAACCTATCATGCAGTGCATAACCTTAGCCTCTGGTCAGCTGAGTCACAATAGGCAACAATTTGAAGGAGTGGATAACTCAACCCATTTTTTTTCTATTAAAAGGGTGGGCTTACAGCAACCAAATCGTCAGTTTGAGTTGGAGCTGCTAGAGAGAGCTGATAATTGTGGGTAGAGAGACAGTTTTTTTCTTTTTTAATTCTGGTACATGTCTCCTAGGGCAGCGTCTGGCTTTTCATTCCATTACAAATGGCCAGAATTGAATAACAAGATTCAAGTATTTCTGCAGATTTATGGATAATTTTCCTTGAATTAATGTGACTGGTATTTAGGCTGTGTCCTTAAAATGCATCTAAAGCAACCTTTTTTATTGCTGTTTCTATCCCCATTTGGGAGATTAACTCTCTGTTTGTTCTAGTGACCATTGTCGCAGAGACAAAAGGAAATCCAACTGTTTACAGGTGTCACAGGAAAAAGAAGTGACTGGAAGCCTTCTAATGCGGACACTTGATCCAGTACTGTCTGATCTCCCCTATGTGTGGAGGAATTTCATCTCACATCGTGTTGCTACTCGGAAAAAAAATGAAGGGAAATCTATCCAATGGGGCACAGACAACAAAAGGAAATCCAACTGTTTACAGGTGTCACAGGAAAAATAGGTGACTGGAAGCCTTCTATTGGGGACACTTGATCCAGTATTGTCTGATCTCCCCTATGTGTGGATAAATTTCATCTCACATCGTGTTGCTACTTGGAAAAACAATGAAGGGAAATCTATCCAATGGGGCAGAGACAACTAAAACATAAAATTAGTTTTTAAACCATTCCTGACTCTATTTTACCCCTTTGTGACGGGAGACGTACACTGTACGTCCCGCCACAAAGGGGCCAAATGACTTGTCACGTACACTGTCCGTGACGAGTTATTTGCTGCATTAGAGGGCTGGTAACCGCTGAGTATCAGCGGTTACCATTCATTAATGGATGCCTCAGTATAGAGGCATTCATTAATGAAAGGGTTAACCTTTTTCAGACACCTGATACCTTAATATCGGGTGTCTGAGAGTCAAAGCAGAGCCGCAAACATTTACTACAGTTACTACATGGATGTAAACCCTAATTCAATTACCATACATTCTCTGCAGGCTTTTGCCCTGAAATGAGGAATAACTCTCTTATTTTTGGAATGTGTGTTAGAACGTGACATGTGAATATGTTCTGTTCTAGGAAGGCTGGCTCAGCCGAGCCGATGCATATGCGTTCGGCTCGGCTGAGCCGCTCGGCCATGATCTGGAGCTGTACGGACTATTGTGAATAGCCCGTACAGCACCCCTTCAGTTCTAATGAACCGAATGGGTCCTGGGGCTGAAGCTAGCCGAAGGATCAGCCGAAGCTACGGCCAGATCCTTCGGCAGCTTCGTGAATAGACCCCATAGTGTTATAATCATATTGCATGTTTCAGCTATCAATTTGACTGTGGGTGGGATGAGACAGAATATCACTTCCAGTAGGATAGTATTCCTGTACCGGTATACTTTCCCTATGAGTCAAATCATGTCAACGAGGACTTCCCAATTCAATAAGTCCCCCTTTGTAGACCCCCACGTCCAGTTGGCCAGGGATGTGGGGATGAGGCCCTTGTCCCCATCAACATGGGAACAAGATATCTTTCCAATGTTTAAGACATGTGGCCCGGTATAATTCAGTCAGGTTGCCTACCTGGATAAGGGTATGGTATAGATATTGGAGAACCCACACCATTTCTTTTGTTTTTGTTTTATGTGTGGGGTCCGCCTTAAAAATCCATATTAAACTCCTTTCTATGATGGAGGGTGGGGGGGGCATATAATTTTTTTTGTGTGTATAAAAATACATATCAGGCCCTGGCCCAGTGGATGTGGGGGTCTGGGCAGGGGGGACTTATCAGGTATCCACCTTTCCCTATGTGAATGAGTAAGAAGTACCCCTGTTTACTTATTCACTAAAATAATTTACAAAGTGAACACAAACGCTGTTGAAAATTTATTTTTAGAAAATAAAAAGTCCCATGATGTAAATCAAAGCATCCAATGAACCACTGACACAAATACAATGATCCACACATGATGATCCTCTCCAACCAGACTCTCACCTCAACTGACAGCTCCCCAGCACTGCTGGAATGCAAAAAGTGTCAGTAAAGCTGGGCGATGTCATTGACTTAATATGGTCATGACCATATTTGATTAATGATGTGGGCCGTGATGGCCACAGGCTTATTTATAATGTGAAACAAGCCAACAGGCAACTAGCCAGAAGCTTCATTTAGTGAATGACCTCCAGCTTCAGCAGTTCGAGATTTGGGAAGGTGAACTGGCCAAAAATGGACATTCAGTTCACCCATTTCATGCACTGTGAAGAGTTTAGGTTTAGGTCCTACTTATAATTATGGTTAATACAAACCGGAAGCTCATCCTTAATGCCAACAAGTGTATACATTTCTCAGTAGCAAAGAGGTTGTTTTATTATTGTTTTGATTATTTTGCATAGTTGTTGGCACATCTAAGGAGGTATGGAGTTTGTGATATGTACTAGCCAGCTTTAGTCACATACCCATTGGCACCAACACCAGTGTGAGACTTATTCAGGATTCCAGACATACAATATTAAAAGAAAATTACTTTTTCTTAATGCACAATTGAAATAAATATTTTTTAGTTTTGTCATCAGCGGCTTGTGAGCCGCTGATGACAGCTATTAATTTAAAGGGGACAGTCTGCTGAACAGTTCTACTATAAGCTGATGGTCGCTAAAGCGACCATCAGCTTATAGTAGAACTGTAAATGCCAGGTCCGTACGACGTACTGAGCTGGCCAGCTGGAAGCACTTTTGTAGCTCCGTACGACGTACGTCCTTGGCAGCGAAAGGGTTAATATAGGCATACAGTAAATATAAATGCCCAACAGAAAATTTTAGATTTGTCCGTGATTTTAGATGGCCTCCTGCTGCCCATATACACCTTCTTATTTTTATTCAAAATATGAATATTTATAAGCTTGTAAACCAATTTTAAGTTACTTTTCCATAAAGTCTTTATTTTAGAAATAAACATTTAAATGTTGCTTCCAGGATACCATAGGTTGATTTACAAAAGGCAAATGGGCAGTTCACTTTACAAGGAAATTTTAATTTCGCAAGGGCATTTTCCCTTAGCTTAGCGAATGAGGTGAAGCTCTTCTGACTTCCATCATCCAATCAAGTTCAAGCAAATATACTGGTTTTTCTTAAATTTTACTTGCATGTAATTGGGTAATCTTTGCAAAGCTATTTTTCACCACATTCACTAGGCTAAAGGAAAATCCCCTCATAAGGTACACAACTTATTTGCCTTTAGTAAATCAACCCCTATGTTTTCAAGCATTGAGAACATTCTTATAAAAGAACCCAGCAGTAGCTACTTACTTGAATGCATTCAAAAGAAGGGGGCCTACAGTATCTCCCCTTCATCTCATTCAGCTGTGTGTTCTTAAAGTGTCACTAAACTTAGGAATTACATCTTAAAAATGCATTCAAGTATCTTAACTTTTAACAAAAATGTATCCTATTTGTGCATCACTCAGCTGTAGATCCTCAAATCATCTCTGAATTGGTGCTGATAATGTTTTTCCCTCTGGAGGGTGGCTAAATTTGTTCCCCATGGTCTCTGTGTGTGTTGTAAAGTAGTCACCACTCCAAGCTCACTCCTGTGATGGACAACAATCTGATGTTTAGTTTAGTATTGTGTACTTAGATTGTAGTCCATCACCGGAGCAAGCTTGGCATGGTGGCTACATTACAACACACACAGGGACCATGAGGAACAAAAGTAGCCACCCTCCAGAAGGAAGGACATTGTCAGCACCAATTTACAGATGATTTGAAGATCTAAAGAGTGATACATAAATAAGCTGCATTATTGTTAGTAGTTAATTAGTACTTTGTACTTAGTACTTGAATGCATTTTTACGATTCAACTCCTGAGTTTAGTGTCACTTTAATAGAGAAGAATTGCGAAATTTCAAATTACACTAATTTATTTGCATAGAGTTGCAGAACACTTGTAGTCATATACATTGTAAATACCACACATTCCTTATAAATAAAGATATGGAGAATATACATTAACATGAAATACAAGATAAAGACCAGCACTATGTAGGCATAACTAACACACTGTTTCCTGAATATATTGCAAAATTAACTTATCTAAAGCTTAATATTGATCAGAGGACTGGAAATACTGTTACCCTTAGTCTGCCAGGTTGGTATATCACAATATTACACAAAAAAGGATTCTAGACGGATTTGCTTTCTCTTGTTTTCTGAGCCCTGCGTACTTGCATTGACCTAAGTAGATGTACACCAGCTGGCCATGTCCATCACTGAAGCCAAGTCACAGAATTCCTGAATATACTTAGATCCGGCAGGGCCTGTTGTACAAACAGTCATTAGTTTGCAGGACTTGAGCAAACCAGGGCTTAAAATGAAGCAAGCTTGGAATTTTTCCTGAAGAAGTCAGCTTTTTTTGTGAATTAATCATGAAAGATTTACCACACATTCCACTTTTCTCTATCTTCACGGTGGCTGCTTTTGGCTTTGCGGAGAGACTCCCCAAAGGTTTGTTTCAACTGCTTCATCTTGTCGTTTGGTCATGGCTATGCATTTTCACTGCTGTGAAACAGTGTGAACATTTTAAACATATAACCATTGTATGTTTTCAGGCGAAAGTCAATAAGCTTAATACACTCGTGATATTTATTTTGTATGTAAACTATAATTATACTGCTAAAATGACATGTTATATTTACTTATGTTATAATAACTTAGAGATATATTTTAATTATTTTTCAGTTTGTTTATGCACTGATTAGAACTAGTTTATTTCATTTTCTTCAAGTTTTGCTTTTATCCTAGAAAAATGATCAATGTTAACAGTTTTGCTATCTCATTGATTATTGTTTCTCACATTTGTACATTTTTCTGTGCAAACTATTGGCGCTATATAAATCCTGTATAATAATAATAATAATAATACATAGCTAAGCTACGTACATGGATGTTGAATATTTGTGTGCTGAAAGAAAGCGTTAGTCCTTTGTAAATGAATTGTGCAATTATGTCAAGCTTTAAGATTGATCATATTTACAATTACAATTATTCATTTAGCTCCAACATATTCAGCAGCGCTGTACAATCGTTTAGACAAGACAAGTAAGAAACACTGACAAGCATCATTGACATACAGAAACAGTAGGTGAGGAGGACCCTGCCCAAACGAGCTTACAATACATGGCCAAATACATCCTGATGGGATGGAACCAGACAAAATATTGTTAGCGGTGATTTGTAGGAGTAGTGGATAACAAATATAGGGTTGCTTGGGTCATTCCATATATGTTTTAATACAACCAAATCATAATATAAATTAACACCAGCAGGTATTATGTTTTGGTGGGATTGAGGTACATATTTCAAGCTAACATTAATGTAAAATCTGCCTATGTATGGCCAACCCTATTTTAGGGTTGTACATTTCCCTCAAAAGTTATATAAAAGCTCATTTAGATTTTACCCCGTCACTTCTTTTATAAACCATAGTTTCACTGGTTTGTGTTTACCATTTTCGGATTGTAAAAGTTATACTCCAGAAAGAGATTCCTTTGATTAAAATGTGCAAGGATCTTTTTATTCATTAGTGTAAGGAGAAATCAGAGATTTTCCTCTGTCCAAATGATTGGCATGCAACTGTGAAAAAAAAGAGTTACCTAGAAATGTTTGGTAGATTTTTAAAGACACAAAATGCTGAGTCTTCTTTATCAATTTGTCTTTTAACATTTGTAACTGAAGACTGTATGTGGTCAATTCTGAGTGATTTTTGTTAGAACATGATTCAGATAATTTTTTAAAATACTAATTTCATATTTAAAATGTATAGTATATAGCACAGCGTAAAACCAAGACATTGAGTTGCTTTGTTTGTAAAGTGGACCTATCATTGTAAATGTAAAAAAAATCCCATTGTTGTATTACACACTGCTACAGAAATGTCACTAAATTTAAAAAAAGCGCACAAGTAAGCAAACATTTACCTGAACCCTGAAATATAGCACTTTCTGGTTGTTCTGACTATTGTTTAGCCACTGTGTACAAATGTAAAGGGTAAAGGTAAGGGTAAGGGTAAGATAAAGGTTTACCAGGGACTTGAATTTTCCCTTTTTAGTTGCTTTAAAATCTGTTTTTTTGTCATTGTCCCTAGACTATCAAGACTAAGGCCTACCAAAAATTTGTAAGTCATTTAACTGGGTTTGGAGAGATTGCAAAGCAGTTCATGACTCAGTCCCCAGGGCCTCTATAGAGCTTAAAGATCCCCAGTTCAAAGAGGAAATTATTTTGATAAATTCCGGCCAGAACTGATAATTAATGATGAAATACAAGCACTGATTTATACTACGTATGGCATTAAGGAGGTACTAGATAAACTTTACTCTTGTCTTCAGTCCTTCAGTACTCACTTTCTCTGACATTGCAGCAATATTGGGGATGTAGTTTTGCAGATAATTATGCCATAGGAACTCCTCATTCTTGCTTTTAGAGGATGCTGAAAATAATTGTAGAGCACGTGTATGGTAGTTACAACTGGCAATATGTAGGGTGCTAAGAAAACAGATACATAACTTGGAAGTAGAATTATAAGGAAGAGCCTTACTTGGAAGACACGTATATTAACTTTTTTTTTTTCTTCAAAACAATCTTCCTTTTATTTTCAATCAAAAATATTACAGATATTAACAGTCATTTGTACACATTGTGTGGCACAGTAAGACATTTACCAGCATTTAATTTCTTGCGATCACATAACACTACAATCTATGACATGCATGCAGGGCGTATATTTGTTTTCTTTTTTTTATAGGTCATATGGCAACCACAGTCCTTGAGTTATGAAGCTGTTCAAATAGCACTGGAGGTATATTTGAATGGAGATAGAAATGTATCTTTTTCCTCTTGCGTAAAGGCTATATTAATGTATGGTAGCCACCTGTCATAGAAGGAAGCTGTTTTCTTATCATCTGTCAGTAGTATTTCTGCGTCCAGTTTCTCTAAGAATTCTTGCCCTTTTCCCCTGCCAAATGAAGGCGGAGAGATTTTTATTAAGGGAAGTGACATCCTTATGTTTCAGGAGAAGGGGTAGTGTTTGCATCGGGTAAAGTAGCCTAGCAAAGGATACCATTTTGATTAGATGTATTCTGCCAAAGAGCGAGAGGGGGAGGTCCCGCCATGCCACCAACTCCTTTCTGATCTTATCAAAGAGAGGGGGATAGTTGAGAGTATAAAGTGAGGATGGAGTGGTGCCTATGTGTAGGCCAAGGTATACAATGGAGCCCTTGGCGATGTTGAATATATGAGAGTGACCTAACGTGGTCGACGCTCGAGAGGTCAACGGTAGTATGGTTGATTTGGATGCATTTATGGTCAGGCCCGAGAATTTTTGGTATGTTAGGAACGTGGCTTGAATAAAGTGTATGTCATTGGACGGATCATTGGAGAATAATATGATGTCGTCAGCAAACAGCATTAATTTAAGTCGCGTTTTCTGGAAGGGGATCCCGTGGATGTCTGGAGTGCCCTGAAAGTACAATGACAACGGTTCCAATGCCAGGTTGAACAGCAACTGAGACAGCGGACATCCCTATCTGGTTCCCCTTAGTAAGGGAAAGCGATTAGAAATGTTTCCAGGTGTACAAATGCGTGCACATGGTGAGGCGTACATTGCTGCCACAAAATGAGTGAACCTACCTGAAAACCGCATCTCATCTAGCACTCTATATAGCCAAGAGAATTGGATGCTATCGAAAGCCTTTTCGGCGTCTATTGAAATTAGGGCTAAAGATGAATTCGGATGACCTTTAGCATGCTCTAGGACTGCTAGTAATTTACGTACATTGGCTACTGCTGACCTGCCTTTAATGAAACCTACTTGGGCTGGGGATATTAAGCATGGTAAAAGCCTCGCCAATCTATCCGCTACGATTTTTGACATCAGCTTTGCGTCAGCGTTTATCAATGATATTGGCCTATAAGAGTCAGGAAGAGTTGGGTCCCTGTCTTTTTTGGGCAATAGTCTAATATAGGATTCCGAGCCTGTCTTTAGATATTCTCCTCCCTTCCACATGTTATTAAAAACCTTAAGCAAGATGGGGGACACATCCTCCTGGAGCATTTTATAAAATTCGTTCGAGTACCCATCAGGGCCCGGAGATTTTCCATTGGAGGAGGATTTCAGAGCCCTCTGAATTTCCTCCAAGGAAATGTCCTCATTGAGAATAGATAGTTCTTCGCTGTGAATTTTAGGCATCGATACAGACTTCAAAAAGAGATCACCTATGTCTTTGTTAACGTGTGTCGCCGAGTACAGTTGACTATAAAAAATTTCGAATATTTGATTAATGTGTTTCGGGTCAGAGGTGGTATTTCCCCCTTCTGACTGTATAGATGTTATGTGTAACCTCAAAGTGCGTTGTCTGACCAGGTTTGCCATCATTTTTCCCGATTTATTTCCAAATTTGTGGAATTTTAATTTGGTGTGCGTAAGATGATATAGGTTTTGTTGTGTGTTGCACCATTCAAAGTCCAGCTTTGCTTTGGTCCACGCTTCCCTATGTTCTGCAGACCCGGTTAATGCATATTGTAACTGTGCTCGGAGAAGGGACGAACTAGCTTTAAGAAATTGGGCTCTGGCTTTCCTCTTTCTGGCAGCAATGTACGCCATTATTTTCCCCCGTAGTACTACCTTTGCGGTTTCCCAATATAGATTAGGATTGTATTTGTGAGCATGATTAAACGACTCGAACTCTCGCCAAGCCTCCTCCAGCATAGTTTTAAATGACGTATCCGCGTATAAATGAGAGGGGAAGCGCCATATAAAAAAATCGCCCCTTGGTGGGGAAGATTGTAGCTGGAGTAGTATTGGTGCGTGATCTGATATGGCTATTGGATACAATGTTGCGTCAGTGACTAGTGAGTCTACCGTCTCCGTTGCCAAGAAGTAGTCCAGCCTGGCAAAGGAGGCGTGGACAGAAGAATAATGAGTGTACTCACGTTCCAGTGGATTCCTGACCCTCCAGACATCCACGAGATTGGCATTGGTAGATAGGTCATGTAGAGGAGTGTGAGAAGGAGGACCAGATCCCATGTTGGGGTTTCCTTTACCCGTTCTATCCTCCTTCAAAACCATGACGGAGTTAAAGTCGCCCCCTATAAGTTTGTTCGGATTATCGTCCTGAAGTATCCATGAGGTGATCTCCTGGAAGTAGGTGGCTGTTGGCGCATTCGGAAAATATAGATTGTATAACGATATTATTTTGTTTTGAATCCTTATTTTAACCCTCAGTTTACGCCCTTCTTGGTCCGCTTCTACAAATTCTACTTTGTAGTTTAGAGATTTATTGAACAGTATAGCTACCCCCGCCCTTCTTCCCACTGCTGGGGAACTGATAATTTCTCCCACCCACATTTTCTGTAATCTACCTATATCCTCCCGGGATAGATGGGTTTCCTGCAGCAACACTATATCCGCTTTTATCTTTTTGAGATGGCGAAGGGTCATCATGCGTTTT